GAGTTTGTTAGCAGTTGGGCCTACTCTTGACTTGATAAGATTCCCAACTAACTAACTAGGATTAGTGATTTTGGTGCTAAAGGAGCAAATCTGAAGACATCCACAGACCTTCTTGTTTCCTCTTGTTTTGAGGCATCCACTCACCTCTTCTCTGTCACTGTCTTGTTTTTTAATACCCTTTACCCTCTTCAATTGCATTACCCTTCTCACTCAGGCCCTTCCCTGTCCCAACTCCTAACCACTTTTGTCTCTTTTCTTCTAAATGCAATCATAACATTCTTCAACCTTTTACTCTATTCATTAAATCTCATTTTTTTAGGTTACACCTTCAAATCTGCATTTGTATCTCCCCTTCTCTTTTTCTATTATTTAAGGTTATATTATGTAGATTAACAAAAATATTCTCTCCTTCTCATTTTATTGTCATTTTAATTAATGTACGCTTTTTTTTAATAGAAAAATATTAGTTACATAAAATTACTTATTTTACAAAATTACTCTCATTAAAAGGGAACATAGTTATGATTTATTTAAGAATTTAAGTGATATATCGATAAATGAAAGTACTATTCAAGAACAATATTTTACCAGAATAATTTATTCATTTTGTAAGACTAAAAACAATAATTCTAAATTTTAGAAAAATATTAAACAATTTTTTATTTCTTTACAATGACTAAAACTATATTTAAAAACTAAAAATTAAGTATTAGAATATTATTACCACGTCTTGTGATAATAAATATTTTTTAAAATAAAAAAATAAAAAATAATAATAAATAGTTTTTTTTTAATAAACCTAAAGCTTGAACTTTAATATTATTACCTGTACTGTGTTTATCTTTTTACCATTTTCTTAAATATTAGAATATTATTACGAAGTCTTGGATCTATTTCGATGGGTGTGACCAAGTTGAAGAAGACAAAGCGAATAAGAGAGAGGCATGGCATGATCGTGTGTTTGTGGCAGCTGGACTCCCTAGTGATCTCATTCTTCGTTATTTTATAGTATTCTGATCTTCTTCTAATAATTTCATGTTTTGATATGCTATCTAATAATTTCCTTTGATCTACATTATTAATTAAACATAGATCTAAATGTTTCTTTATTTTCAGATCTACCTATCTTTCATGCCAAATATTGTCTCTTCTTTCTTACCCAAGTGGTTCAACGTTTTCTTTCCCCTTATAATCATTTCTTTTCCTTTCATTAATTACCTTTATTTTTCGGAGCAAGATCCGGATTTATGTTGCCGCACCTATAGTATCTCCTCTTTATCAACAAAAATATATTTATATAACTTTATTTAGATTAAACATATATATCTTTTACTGAATTAATTTTAAATTAATCATATTTAGACTAGACAAAATTATTTTGAATTACATTTACATAATTATAAGACTCAAAATGAAACTATTGAATCATATGATATACGTTAAATGATCTCACGCTAATCGTTATATAATCGATTTATTTTAAATTAATAAAAAAAAAAGAGATATTTCGTGCTTCAATGTATTTATTTGAATAAAAAAAGTTATAAGAATAGTAAGTGTGAGTGAATGTAAAAATAACTGTTAGTTTGAAGATAAAACTGCCAAAAGTTTTTTTCAAATACCGCTTGCTATAAGAACAAAAGAATTATATTTTATATTCTTACTTTCAATTCCAAAACTATGAACTAATTATTCAGTTTTATAATATAAATGTAAGTTATCATCTTTTATAACCTTTTAAAATTAATTACAATATTATTTATATATTAAAAATATTAAAATTCAATTACAATACATTTTTCAATTGTGTTATTTTTATTTTTTTTCTTCATTCTAAGCCTTTTAAAATAATTTTTTATATTAAAAATTTTATTTGTCATAAATTTAAACTACTCTAAAATGTTCTTTTTCTTTCTTTAATTAGATAGGATTTTACTTTATAAAAAAGTTAACATAGATATTATCCAACTTTTCATTGAATAATGTAATCTAAATAGTTATTAAAAATATAAATAAAAAAAATAGACTATGCACTTATACAATAATTTTTTTTATTGATATGATTATAAAAATATTTAAATATGTTTTTAGTCATCATATTTTTGGTCCCTCAAATTTAAAATTATTTTTTTTAGTCTCTATAATTTTCGAAAATCTTATTTTAATCATTCAGATCATCAATAACATATTTAAAAATAATAAATTAAGATGATTATGCAATATCAATTAAATTTAGTGTGATATTTTCATTAACAGAACATCAATAGGTAAATTTTATGCAATAATAGTTGATAAATTTTTTAACAAAATTTGAATATAAAGACTAAAATAATATATTTTTTTAATTATAGGAACTAAAAATATCAATTTTAAACTTGAGGGATTAAAAATAAATTTATCCTAAATTTAAAAGACTAAAAACATATTTAAATCTTATAAAAATTATGTATAATAAGTTTATTAACTTTATTTAAAAGTTATACTAATGATAATTTTTTATATTTAATTATTATAAAATTTATATTAATTATATTATAAAAGTTTGTTAAAAATTTATACTAATAACTTTTAAATAGTCTTTAATAATATTTTAAAAGTTATACTAATTGATTAATAATATAATTTTTATTTTAATCCATAAAACTAAACCAAATAAAAATGTGGTAATATTATATATATATATATATATATATATATATTATTTTTTTCATAATGTTAATCTTTTGCTTTAACGACGTAAACGGTGTTTCATCTCCATTTCATTTTCCATTGTATAATCTGCCAACACGCATGGTCCCACGTTGAAAATTAGTACCATGAATTATTTATTTGGAGGACCCATATCTATTTCTTCTTGCAATGGGAATAAAGATATATATGGTAATATGTCAGTCATATTTTCAAGAATCAAAATTTAAATGTAAAAAAAAAATAGTTTAAATATTAAATAAGATAATTGCTCTCCTCAAATGTGATAGTGTAATACAACTAGTTAAATCTTTTGACTCCACTTAATTAAGATTTTGGAGTGAATCTAATTTCACTTATATGTTATATTCTTTATTCTTCAAAAAGTTAGTTGTTGTCTTTAAAAAAAAATAATAATAATCATTATTAAAAAATTAACATTTAAAATTATAACTAGTTTTAAATTTATTTTATGTATACTTGATTTTAATACAATCTTTAATAGTTAATTTTTAAATAAATGATAATAAGTGTCTTTCATCTTCAAAACTCTTTTTTTTTTTTTTTAAATTATAAATAAGTAACTATTTTATGTGTTAATTTTTGAATGAAAAGGTGTAAAAAAAAAAAAGAACCTTTGAATTAAAATTTAGTTATATTCTCTGCCTATCATTTCCCTCATAATTTTTTTAGTTATGTTTCTCAATTTAATATATATTTTAAAATGATATTAACTATTATTTTCGCAGTTATGTTAATTTTATATTTAACTTCTAAATATTTATACACTTGTTATAGATGAGAGTAAAATAATAGTAAGTATCATATTAAAAATGCAAAATTAAAACATTTTAATATAAAACGAAAATATTAATCATATATTTTTAATTTTTGTGCTATCTTTTAACATAAAGAAATGGAGAGAAGTAAATGGCGAATAAACTTGCGACAGCTCTGTTTGTGAATTGGGTTCGATCATACATTTTAAGTCGTTTTTCAATTAAAATATAGTAGTAACGAATTTTTGAAAAAAAATATTTTAACATTTTTTTCATGTATATAAGTATTAAATCATTCATATTTATTTTTTGTCTGTATAAATTATAACAACAAGGTCAAAATTTAAGACCACATATTATTTTAACTTCTTACCATTAGACTATCTTTAGCAGTTAATAAAAATTCAATATAAATTAACTTAGAGATATAAGATAGAAAAATTAATATACAAAAAGAATTAATCTTCATACAATATTATCATTTTTCTAAATAATTAAAATCATCTTAGATACAACTCTCAAAATATAGTATAAAAATTAATTAACTTATTATATATAATAATTTGAGACTGGATAGTATTACATTTTACTTAATTTCTTATAAAAATAATTTTTATAAAATATAAAAAATAATATTTTAAAACTTAGAATTTAATAGATATATATTGTTAATATTTTAATTTTTTCATCTGTTAGAAAATATATTTAATATGAATTGTAAAATAATATTATCAAAATTAGCAAATTTACTGTATACTAACAACCGTTTTCTTTGGTGTAAAAAATTCGTTTTTTTTCCTACACCAAGTATATAGAACCGTTTATATTTAAACAATAGTATAAAACAGTTTACTGTTATTATATATATGTCCTATTTTCTTTAAATGTTGTCCAAACATATTTTATTTTTACGGTAATTTTTGTAATAATGAGAAGTTAAAGGAAAAGTAGCCATGTGTATAAAAAAAAAAAAAAAAAAAAAAAAAAAAAAAAAAAAAAAAAAAAAAAAAAAAAAAAAAAAATAGGTGTGCAATATTCCGTTGGTCTCGTGTCCTTCGTCGGTGATGGCTAAATGATTTTTTGTATTTTTGTGGAAATGAGTATATAAAATGTGGAACTACAGAATGATTCATTAAACCAAATAACATGGTTTTGGATCCACCTATTTTTGCTTTAAATAATTCCTTGTAGATCCATATCTCATGCTCCATCACCCTTGTTACTTGTTAGTTCTTACCATCTATCTATCTCAGTTGACCAACCTTCTTTATCTTTTCCACACTTGCCCTACAATTATATTAACTACCATTCATGATTCATTCTGCTAAGAAACAAATGCTTATAAAGGTCGACGCGTTTTAACGTTTAAATTCCATCAACCTTACAATTAAAACATCCTTCTCGTTTTTAATGTACGTTAGATTAGATCTTGCTTTTGTAACTCTAACTTTGTACTTTTCAAGCGTACAAACACAAAAGCATCATTATATGGCCTTTAATTTAATAAAAGGAAAATAATTAAAATTTGGTGTGAAATGGATGGAATACTATTATCGAAAGGGAAATATTAATGGAACTCACGAGAGGAGGATGAGGGTTTCCGCATGGGAGTAGCGCACAAAAATAAAACCTAATTTACCAAATTCAGACACACAGATTCTCACTCCTCAACATCTTCTTCTTCTCACTTCTCTCAAATTAATCCTTAAACTTTCCAATCTCTGTCTCTCCATTTCCAAATCATTACTCACTACAATGTGCTCCATTTCCTCACTCCACCCAGCTCATGTCTGAGGTCTTTCAACCTCTCTCTTTTTTCCCTTTTCATTTTTCATTTCCTTTTAACGTCAGATATTGCCTGCATTTTCCTTTTTTTTTTTTTTTTTTTTCAACTTGGAACAAATTGTCAAAGACTCGTGTTTTACTGTTCTTAGCTGATTTTTTTTTTTTTTTCCCTCTTTGTGAAAACTTACGAGGTACATCCTCATTGTGACAGTTAATTACCTTACTATCCAAATTGGAATAGGGAACATAGCATAAGTTCTGATTTTGGTTGTTTTTTAACCAGTGATGGGTGGTCTGTGCTTTTTCTTTTTCAAATAGGTTCTGTTGTGGGCATGAGAGGAGTGACAATGTGTGTGTTTGGTGTTTCTTATGCTCTATAATGTTTTTGGAACAGGATAGTGCTAATATGAAGGACTCTTGGTTTTTCGACAACAACTTTAATGGTCTCTCGGATGAGATTTTTGATGATGTCGTCAATTTTTTTGATTTCCCGCTGGAAGATGTGGAGGCTAATGCTGTGGAAGAAGACTGGGACGCTCAATTTAAATGCCCTGAAGACCCACGTTTTGATGTTTTTTCAGCATCATCAGCTGGGGGGTGTGCCAAAACTAAAAATGAAAATCCCCAACTTGGGGTGGGGTTCTCTGCTTCTGTGAGTATTCCTTCCATAGTTGTGGTGTGTAGGAATGTATGTAGGGTGTGATGTCTTTTACCTACTTACATTATTTTCTGGGATGTTGTCCCTGTTCTAGTAGTTATGTAGATGGAAAATCATGATGAGACTTCAATGCATTGAACTTTATATTTGATGGATTGACTATGTGGATATTTTTATCATGTAAAACTGAAATTACATGAATGCAAGGTTTTAAATTATAGTTGCGGTCGTGGTTGTGGTTTTGTCGCGGTTTTGTCGCGATCCTTGGTGTTGTGGAAAATTATGCACAAATGCAACTGCAATTGCCATACGATGCGGTTATGGTGACTTCAAAAGCGCGTCCAAAATCATGGTTGAAAATCTTTTTTAAAAACCTTGCATGAATGCATCAACATTGATAGAGAAATTTTTGTGATTTAGGTCCTTTTGTAAGTTCAGTTGCTGGCTGCGGATGTTTTGTTTGATATAATCTTTACTTTCTGAATGAAATGTTTTTCCTGAACCTTCATCACAGACCCCTGACAAGAAATGTTAATACTTTTACCTAGACGACTAGGACTTTTTTAAAGTTGGGATTTTGCAGGAGATAGGGAAAACTAGAATGTTGTCCAGGAATTTTGTCAGATTGGCAAAACAAAAATATTGGTCAGCAAAATACTTTATGGGTAATGGAAGAGATTTGGGGGATGATTGACTTGGTATGATCTAGGAGAATTGAATAGGAGTAAAAAAGTGGAAGATACAAGGGTTTGAGATTCAGTTTTCATGCATTTACTTAATAGGCACTAGGCAGGAGGATTATTGAGAAACATTAATTGTACACCGCATGCATTACTGTTTACTACTGAGCTGTTTCTGCAACAGTAGGAGAAGCAGCAATGCAGACTTTGTGGTGGTACTCTGATTTTTCCTTAAAAGTGTGGTGCTAATGTCATTTACTTATTATTGGCAGTAACAGGATATCATAATAAAACATGTAATAGTTAAGAAATTTGTTCAAAAAGTTGCTAGTTGCTACATTTCATCTGCTACTGACCCATAATGTCCTGGAGATGCTGCTATTATTCTGTCTGTAGTGCTCAGCCTTTATGCACCTAAAGTTAGAACTTTTCAGGGTTTCACAATAAAGGAAGGAGGAAGGTAGGAAGCTTGGTGATAATCTCTTTCCTCTCCCATTCAGGTTGCGGAAACTTCCTCTCTTGGTATACACTTTTGGATGGCAAAGAAGGTTTAAAGAAATATAAAAAGAGGAAGAAACAGAGGGGAAAAAAATTAAAGAAATTTGCCTGGGAAAGAGTCATCTGGTTATTTTTTATTTATGCAATGATGTAGATTCATCAATCATAACTGTCAGGTTCTGAAATCCAAAATTGGTTTTACTACTGTTGAACATGGGGTTTTAGGCTGAGAGGTAAGAGTTTGTAACATTGAATTGATATTAACTAAGATGTATTACAGCATATTGGTGTATTGATGCATTTATAAAACCTAGAGCACTAACCCTTATCTATACCAATAACAATCTTAACTTAATTAGGGAAACAAATCAATGATAAGTTAAGTAAATCTGGTAACTAGTCCTTAGAGATAATGAGGAAATAGGGAAATTGTTCCTATGAGAAAATCTAAGATATTATAGGATATAAAATATTCTAACAATATCTGCTATTATTTCTATTTTCTATTTTCTATATATTATTCAGTTACATGTGTGTTTAAAATGTTTGAAAGAGGTGTAATAACACAAACCTATATAATTAATTTGCAGCTAAGTTGATACTTTGAAATATATTGGCAGACACTATGTAGGCTTTTAAATTTAAAGTTTCAACAACACCTTGGAACTCATGCCATATATTTTTAGGTTTGTTGCTTTCAGAAAGTGATTAAGTTCTGGTAACAACACGCTTTTGGAATTTTCTAAGCGTTTACTTTGAATAGTGAATGGGTGACATGTAGAAAGAAGTAGAAGTTTGCTTTCTTAAGTACTGGATGATTAGATTTTTGGATCTATAGGAATTATAACAACGGCAACATGGTTCAGTGGGTGATTAGATGAATGTGTTTCTTATGTACTTGTATTTGGTAAATGGTGGGGTACAGTACTAAATATTTGATCCCTTGCCCAAAATTATTTCCATCTCTGTATGGAGTTAATTTAAAGAAACTCCTTGCATTTGGTCAGGCGGCTGATACAAGTTGGCTAGGTCTTGTTATAGATATTGAGTTCTCCTATGTATGTGTATACTGCTTAATGGAAATGAAACAGAAAATGATTTACTGTATCTGCAGTCACACTTTCTTAACAGTCGAGACTCTGCTATGCAGTATTGCAAATGGACGCAAGTAGTTTGAGTGACTATGGTGATTTGACTCGACAGCATCTGATAATTGATAACTATAAGTATACATATTAGAACAGTAGCAATCTTTTCATGTGATTAGCTTTGTGAGTATAAATGTAAATGTTGGAAGAAATCACCTATATTCCTCTTTCACTTATTTATTCAAATAATCATATCCACTGATATTGCATCTGATTCTTGTTTTATTTCATTTTTTCTTGGTTTGATGATTGTTTGGCATTGCAGTGTGATGGGATTTCTCCAATAAAACAGCTGGCAAAGGCTCCAGAACCAACATATGGAAAAACAATTCCCCACCAGAATGTCACTTTCAGGGGAAAAGATTTGCATCAATTCCAAACCTACAGTCCAGTTTCGGTTTTTGAAAGCAGCAGTTCTTCCTCAGTTGAGAATTCCAACTTCGATCGACCTGTCATCCGAGTAAAGCGAGTTCGAAGCAAACGTCAGCGTCCTTCAAGCTTCAGTCCTCTGTTTTCAACTCCTTTCTACCTTAATTTACCAGCTTTGCGAAAACATCAAGGGACAACTGCCTCTGAATCAGATTTCGGAACAAATGTTGCTGGGAATCTATCAAACAAACTAAAAAGGCAAAGGAAAAAGGATTTGACCCCGCTACCAGATGATGTTGAGATGATGAGATCCTCATCACTTGAGCCGGCTGCCCCCAGAAAATGCATGCATTGTGAGGTGACAAAGACCCCACAATGGAGAGAGGGACCTATGGGTCCCAAAACACTGTGCAATGCTTGTGGCGTTCGGTACAGGTCTGGCCGCCTCTTTCCCGAATACCGGCCTGCAGCAAGCCCCACTTTTGTAGCATCATTGCACTCGAACTGTCACAAGAAGGTAGTGGAGATGAGAACCCGGTTCAGGGGTTCTTCCATGTTGGCTCCATCAAATCTCCATGGAAATTCTGTAGGATAATTTTTATGTCGGATTGATTATATTGAGGAAGAAACGGTAGTCCTAAACAGGATCCTCCTTGTCTGTTGTTTTCTTTATAGTCTAATGTTATATTACTTGGCATCATTTGTTTGATTAATGTAAATTGATCGGTGAAATAAAGGGTAGTAGCAGGTTAGTGGTTTGCGAGGAATTCAGGGAACATGGTGTTGAAAGATGGAGAGGTTGAGTATATGGTATGATGTAGTTTCATCGTGGTGGTTGAGCCAGCAATTTTCTAACTGGATCGCATGCATGGCTGTGGGGCTAAAGGGTTAAAGTAGGAGCAAGAATCTTTTCCATTGCTGCTGCATGTGCTACGAGAACATAAAGTCAAGGATCAAATTGAGGCAAGGACAATAATATCACATGCCTCATAACATGGCACAGCGTTATAAAGAAAGCACATGTGTGGCTTTTCTCTTCAATGTTAGACTTGCTAGCTAGAATACTATAATGCCTTTCTATTCAGCTTCAAATATCAAATATATGGGTTAGTTACTCTCCCTTCATAATATAGGCTAGTGGAATTTGTGTGTAGCAGCAATGTTTAAAGGGCTGGCTTCTACTAAGGTCCATTGGTCGGTGTGGGCTGGCCTATTTTTTTTTTTAGAGGTCATTATGCGTTCTTAATTGTTTTGTACTATTACAATTTTATTATGCATTTAGCAACTTATATTTGATTTATGTTTACAATATGTTGAATCCATTTACGTTTCCTTCTCTATTGTTTTTATATTAAACCTTTTTTTTTCTTTTTGATTGAAATAATGAATAACCCATCATCATGTCTTGAAAACTCCTAGGGGGGAGGAGCCATGTTCGGATTGATTTTTTGAAACCTCTTGTATAAACCACGGCATATATTTCACTAGAGGCAATCTTGTCAAACTGAGTAGGATCTTTATGTAGCAGAGAACTCTTCTTTAAATATTTAATGTAATTGCATACTAAAAATTTCGAACTCGAGACTACTGTAAAACAAAAATTATTTGTCAGTTAATCTATGTACTTCGTGATTATGGTTAATTTTTTAATTGATGATGTTAAAGTTAAATGATATAATTTCATACTAGACGAAAATTAAAGTGCAAATATACTCATCTTGATTTTCGTCATTTCTTCAACTCTATATTAACTCTTTATTTAACTGTTTTTATACTATATTTCGGACAGTGGCTACAAACGTTGAGTGGGTCGATCCATTGCAAAAGGCAGGCCGGAATTCTCTTAGGGGCCACAGAATGTCATGGATCCTTGGGACATTAAACATTTCAGAGGCAGCCCATATAGTCACACTTGTTCGGCTCATGATATATACACCTCCCTTTTTTATAAGTACACTTCTTTTTATTTTTTTAAAAAAATTATAAAATATTATAGTTTTTTTTTTTAATTTTCTAATTTTATACCTTCAATTTTCAATTTGTTATTTTCTTCTTTTTCACACACTTTTTTCTTCTTTTAGTTTTCACATGCTACCAAAATAGGTGTGGTGAAGGAAAGGTAAGAGAGTGCATGTAAAAATTGAAAAAATGAGGAAAAATGTGTGAAAAAAAAATACTAAATTAAATATTGTAAATGTAAAATTAAAACTTAAAAACAAAAAATTAAAAATTAAAAAATTAAAAATATTTTAGAAATTTAGTTATTTTTTTTTAAAAAAGAAGATATATATATATCATGAACCCACTTGTTTTTTATTCTTCAACCCATCACTACACCCAAACAAGGGCCCTTTTTCTATTCCCCAAAAAAAACTTTGCACCCAAACTCAACCATAACATGTCAGTTTTATTTTTGGCTCGGCCCTAGTGGGGTTGAATAGTTGCATACCTTATGGTTTAACTAATTTTAATTTCTTTTTTAATGATTTAAGCAAGGATTAATTTAACAGTAACACCCGAAGAATACCAAAAATACTTCGTCGTGCCGAAAAGGAATCAACTTTAGAATGATTTTTCTCAATACACATTGCTATAAGATCCTCTCTGCCTACTTGGTTTTAAACTGACAACATATGAATATGAGTTAATCATATATACACTGTTGGTGTAAAGTTTTTTTTACACTGACAACCAATTATATCTCTTAATTATGTTATGTCATTATTAAAAGTAAATGTATTTACTGTAACATGACACAATTAAGAGATATAATTGGTTGTCAGTGTAAAAAAATTTTACATTGACAATATATAAGTGATTAATTTTATAAATATATACTCCGTTCTTTAAAAATGAATATATAATACTTTTTTTTTATCCGTAGTAATCAAATTCGGTATCAAAAAATTACAACTAACGGCATCAAACTCCTTCAGCAAATATATAAGACATTTGAGTCCTCTTTAATGTAGATTCCCCCCTCCCAATAGACAGCTATAATAATTTATTTTGAATATCTATTATGAATTTTATGTAACCAGAAAGTGAAATAAAATATTTTAGATAAAATTTCAAAGATAAAAATCGGTACTACTTTTATTATACTTTTTAAAAATACTAGAATGGGATTTCCAGAAATAGTTACTAGCTAGTGACAATGAAAGTTATAAAAGTAAAATAAAACACCATTAGATAACATATTCAGAGTTATTTCACTGTTAAGATATTTGTTTATATTAAAAATGATTCAATGTAACCTGTGTTCACCTTATAAGGGAGGAAAGAGTAATTTAAATTACACAAAGTGACTGTGGACACTCTGGTAACCATTTAATGGAAAATGATAAAAATAAAAATAAAACAAATAGGACATGAATTGATGTGTTGAATCTGTGATGCTGTCATCTTGGTACATGCCCCATTTCAAAAAGGATTAATGGCCATGAATTATAGTGGTCCTATATAGTCTTAATTGAGGAGTTTGTGTGTCTTTTTGGTCTTTTGCTCATTCTCCAATTGCATCCCCACTCCCTAATACCTAATAATCTACCTCTACAGTTTAATAGACTTGATATATATGTGCCCTAACTACTAAGGCTTGACTACAGTTTTTCGAAATTTAATGAAAGCAAATGCATTAATCCAATGTTGGGTTATCGGTTAACTCCATCCTTTGCACCATACTATAAAGTTTTCTTTTCAGATACCAACATTCCACCAATCACTTTTCAAAGCGCATGACATCCTTCTCTTCTTATGGGATAGACAAGAAGCAATCCTTTCCATATCTTTAAATATTTAATGAAACTAACTATAAGTATTATATTTAGACTAAAATATACGTATTTAATAACATGATTCTTAGTTAATTACTACAGTATATCCATTTATTACTAGTAATGGGATATTAAATTTGAGAAAGAAAAAAACATTAATTAAACCTTTAAGATTTTAAAACACTGATCATTTAAGGATAAAAAAAAGAATGCTAAAATATCTAATATAAGAAGGGGAGTAGTATTGTATCAAAACAAAAAAGTACTTGTACCTCTCTTGTTTGTGTTTCAGTTGGGAAACATTAAATTTCTGTGGCGGTAATTCTATTGAATTGAAGGCAGAGAACAGTGTTTAGTTGTAATGTAATTTAGTTGATCAATTCCATGCGGTCCATAACATTAAATTTGTATTGATGATGTTGTTTTCTTGTTTGGTTGAGAACAATAAATAAAATTAAAGTGAGGAAGAAAGAGTGCTACTATTTCTACTACTCCATTCTTGTCTTTCCGAATGGTGAAGACATAATGAAGAAAAGTAAAAAGAATGATTGAGTGGGATGTGGTAGCTACTAGTAGTGATAGAAGAATGAAGTTTGGGTGTTAGGAAAATTAATGAAATTAAGATGAGGAGGTTATGCAGTGGCTAACTAAATCATGTTCCGACATTCTAACTCTCGTGAGAAGGAAAGGGAAGTGTCTCTCTCTCTCTCTCTCTCTCTCTCTCTCACGCACGAGACAAAGGACACGTGGCAAGTGGTGGTGTGATGGGCCAAAGGGCACTGTCAGTGGCACTGCCACACGCATTGATTGTATCGAACGCTAATGCAGAGTTTGGTGTAGGAATAAGAATAGGGTAGTGCCGTTTTTGGGCAATGAAAGGTCTTCCAATACTCTCTCTCTTCTTTTCGCCAATTTATCATATCAACAAACACCTTCTTCATTCACTCGCAACTCATCAAATCCGCCAACCACCGACCGTCTTTATTCTAAATCTCACATCATTCAACAGACAACAACTTCTAATATACTCTATAACACACTTTATTCCTAAACTTTCTTTACATGGAGTGAAAAAATTAATTCCATCATGTCTCATGCCTCATGCCTCATGCCTCATGTCTCATGTCTCATGTCTCATGTCTCATGTCTAGTGTCCCATGTTCAAGTTTTGTAAATAAACACTTTATTCCTAAATTTTCTAATACAGGTTTGTACTGTTCAGGTTTACTTACGTTAGGATAGACATTCATTGAGTCTCTCCATATTAATGTGCTTGATACTCCACAGATGCATACCCCTCTCACCCCGAAACCAAGACTAAACTGTTTTACAAGAATATATGCCAACTATTACGTACTAACTTAGACTGCCTTTGCATCTATATCTAAAATGTGATTTTTCAAATCCAATCAAAGCTATGTTTTGTTGCTTTTGCTAATTTTCCTATTTGGATATGGAGAGAGAAACTAGAATTCATGTTTTCAACAAGTGTAATATTTACACTTTCTAAGTGTTATGGATACAAACAACTGTCAAACTTTTCTAGATGTTTTCATATCTTAACAAGATTAACAATCAACAAAAATAAGTAAATAGTATCAATGATATAATTAAAAAAAATTCTACAATTTTCAACTAAGCTATAAAAAAATTTCAAATATTATAAGAAATTAATATAATCGATATTTACTGTTAATTTAAAAATTAAAATGCATTTAAATATTTACTGTAATAAATGGTAATTACGCAAACTCTTTTTGTTTTTAACCTTTGGCTATCTTGACTTGAGTGGGGTTGAGTTGCTTTACTCTCTCTTGTGACTTGTGATAGAGAGAACACAACGACAGAGATTCCTGAGAAAGACTACATCCACATCATCATTCATCACCATGCTGGTGGGGCCCTCTCGGCTACGTTACGTCCCTTCATCTATGTCGCTGCCAACGAGGAACAGCTATAACCCCTCTCTGATGCTCACACGTGTCCATCCCAGGTCAACCCGCCTCCTGCTCCTCGGGCTTCTTGTCTCCTTAAATGTTTCTTACTGTGCTCCACTCCACAACCAAATAAAACCCCAATTACTGTGCTCACACGTGTGACTTTCACTTTTTTTTTTTTTTTTTTTTTAATATGTATTAGTAATTTTCCCTTTTCTTCCATATTTATATCAATTTCACAATCATTGCGTAACAACTATTTGTTCTTAAGCAACATCCACCAAAAGATTCCCTGAAATAATCTAAATTGCTTGGAAAATTAATATATAAAATTCAGTATTTCTTTCGGTATAGAAAATTTCTTCTAAAAAATCATAGTAGTTGTCCAAGTTTAGAATATTAAGAGTGTGCTTATTGTCTCGATCTTAAAAATTTCCTTGTATACAAGTTCTATTTTGAACATGTATTCCAAACTTCTTGCATAATAATGTAAACCATGACATTATAATTAATGTGGATCTTAATTGGTTTGGTTCATCAACATTGTTTGATCGATACTCTTATTGCAGTATCCATGAATTGAGTTAGATTTTAGCATGAGAAGTTGATTGACCTATTTAAACTATACACAAGTCTCTATACCTGAACGTTAAAGCGTGAAGAAACAACTGTCTATACAAAATTGTAGGGGTATTTTAAGTGTCATGTTGTTTTTTACTCTAAGACGAGTCAAATCCACTTTATTCGTCCGTTTGAAGTGAGTGGAAGAGCAAAGTAAATAATAATGTGGAGTTGACAATGGACATAAACGTGGAGATGGGTATAGATAAATGGATGCACTCAAAGCTTTATCATCAATTATCGTTGTCAGACTCTGAGGACAGCGACTCCCTTTTTTGGCTCTCCTTTCCTTTACTTTCTTTTTATTTTTTCATCGTGCTATATTGTTTTGGACACTCGCAAACAATACAATGGCGAAAGTTATGCTCATTTGTCAATTTCTCGGGACCCCCACTGGGACCCATTTCCTCCTTCATATATTCACTATTTTCGTTTATCACCAAACTCGATTCTTTTACCTTTTGAGATGCGTCTGCATGTGACTTTGGGTGGAGCACCTCACTTGGCCATAACATCATAAGGGTTTATCAACAAAACTAGTCAATTCCTCAAGGGCACATGCCAGATCATTTTGTTTTCAGTAAAAGAGGTAATAAGATAACATTTAAATTAATCATGTAAATCAATTAGTACGATATAATCAGTAATTCGAAAAAGATAAGCTAGCTAGCATTTACATTAATTATATATGTACATATGTGATTTTTGTTTCCCACCTATATATATATATATATCCAAACATACCATGAATTAGTATGGGTAAAACGAAGGAGTTTGTTTGGTAGATAGTATAATATAAATTAATGGAGTGAATGTGGGACGGCAAAAATGGGAGAATTGTTAAAGTTATGGGGCTTGAGTAGAAGATAAGAATGAGGGCCAGGGTGGGTGGCTATACAATTCTAAAAATTATTATCCCAACATTGATTGTTTGTTCCATGCGTCTATCATTTCATCTTCTTGTCTTAATTGTCTCGACGTTGTGTGTCGGTATCAATGTTGATTCTTAACCAACCAATCCTATTCTTTTCCGAACCACATATTTTTTGGCGGATTTATCATCCTTTTCCTTTTATTATTTACCTTTTGCTTTATAATCATCTCCACGTTGTTGTTATTGTTGTTTCTGAATACATAAATACAAAAGCGTGTATTAAACCTGATTAAATGATATTATTTATAAGAATTGAGGGTGATTGATGTTACATCCAGGCTGGTAGTAGCGATGTTGTCGGTTCACCTAAGCAACTTGTTTGTAGTAAGGCCAAGTGTGATTGATTCCTAAGCTTTTGCCACAGCATCATGGAAAGTTATTCCTTTTAACTCTTACAGGATGCTATACCCTATTTGACTATGACTATATGCGTATGCCCTGACAATGCTTCCTGAATTCGGCTATCTATCGTACGTGCTGCTGCTTTCCTTTCTCCTTCTACCTATTGCTTTTGTCGCCTTCTGCCTTCTGCCTTCTGCCTTCTGCCTTCTGCCTACTTATAACTCTTTTCTTCTCTCTTTCCACCTTTACTCATTTCATATTTATTCATTAACATGTTATCACAATCAAAAATTGTATCGCAAGATTATTTAAATAAAAATATTGTTAACTAAATATTTAAATAATAGTGTAGGATTAGTATTATGCATGTTATTTTTTGTTGAAAATTTCACACAAACTATCTTAAGAGAGTAGAATTAAATCTGCATGAACCCCATTATAATTTCTTCACAAATTCATTTAAATTATTTCTTTCAAAAATACATTTTTTAATTATTTGATAATCTCTCTCTGCTCTCCATTTCCTACTAAATCATCTCTCCCAAACACACCAAAAAAAGGCTTACTATAGACCTAATAAATAGTACAAAAATAGAGTATTAATATTAATATGCATGTAGGTGTAAGGGAAATGGAGTTTTGTGTTATTTGTATAGATGGAAGAAGAATATTTGTAGGGATATTGTGTATGTAATTGGTACTATTTGTTTGTTAATTTGTGTATAAAGTCAATAAGGCATTAAAGAAATGGGGTGTCCTAGAGTCGGCAAGAAAAGAACAAGATAAACTTTCCGTGGTGTCCTCCTTCTTTGTCATAACCAAACGAGGGTTTTGAAAGCCATATGTATCTTGGCATGAGCGTGGCGTTTTGTTAGCAGTTAGCACAATCACCCAACAGACAAAAGCTACCCTTCACCATGTGAACATCTCCATCTTGCTTGCTGGGATCCATGTCCTTTTCAGTCTTGGCAAAAACAAACACAACAAACTAATTAAACGACTTCACCGATATCTTCACATTTGCTTGATTAGTTCCAGGTGTAAAACATAATTAAAGCTCTTGAACATGGAAATTAAGATTCACACATAAAAGGGTTGAGTTTGAATACGTAAAACGCTCGTATCGTACATGATGGTTGGAGTGGTAGTAATACTTGCCTTATTCATGAGTAGTGATAGAAAGAGACAAGTGAAAGAAGCAGGTAGCCCATTCCCATAGGGCAAGAGGCCCACATTTCTCACATTCTAGTTTCTTCTTTCATTTAATTTTATATTTTGATTATTAGTGTAGATAAGAAGAAAATGCTCATAAAATAGTATACTAAGCTGATCCGACAAAAAAATCGCGGGCCTCACTTGTGACGGGGCATATGAGGTTTGTTACTTGGCAATTGGCAATTGGCATGAATGATGATGGTAAAGCAAAGAAGAGACAAGTTTGATTGTATTACATTTACATGTGAAAATGCGTTACTTTGTCAGCTTATGACTTATTGCAGGCACAAAGAGTGAGAAGTGATTAGCAGTGTGACCAGTCCCCAGTCCAGGTAATTTTAATTTTATAACTGGCTGACACCATACATACCGTCACAATTACAATTACAATTACAATTACCTGTGTTGTGTTTCGGAAACTATTGCTCCTCTTTATTGCATCATGTCATATCACCATAATTATAACAATTTTTAATTTATAGGCCTACAATTAATTATTAAATAGAGGAAACCCCTGCGTTGCCCTCACACACACACTCTGTCCCTTTCTTTCTCTCAGATCTAAACCCAAAAAATTCAGCTCAGGTCTTTCTAATATGTGACTCAACTCAACCTTTTGCTTTTCGTTAATTCACTGAGAGACACGAATAAAATAAACACAAAACATTAGCGTCAAGAGTGTTGTGAATCGATTCAATGAAGGAAACAGACAAGACGTTGGATCCGCAGCTGTGGCACGCCTGCGCCGGCGCCATGGTTCAGATGCCGCCAGTCAACTCCAAAGTATTTTACTTTCCGCAGGGGCACGCCGAACACGCGCACTCCAACGTCGATTTCACTTCCTCGCCGCTTCGGGTTCCGCCGCTTATTCTCTGCCGCGTGGCCGCGGTCACCTTCCTCGCCGACCCCGACACCGACGAGGTCTTCGCGCGCCTCAGGCTCCTGCCGCTCCGGAGCACGGACCTCGACGCCGACGCCGACGACAACGACGCCGCCTCGGAGGCTTCGGAGAAGCCGGCGTCGTTCGCGAAGACGCTGACGCAGTCGGACGCGAACAATGGCGGAGGGTTCTCCGTGCCGCGGTACTGCGCGGAGACGATATTCCCACGGCTGGACTACTCGGCGGAGCCGCCGGTGCAGACGGTGATCGCGAAGGACGTGCACGGCGAGGTGTGGAAGTTCCGGCACATTTACCGAGGGACGCCACGTAGGCACCTTTTGACGACGGGTTGGAGCAGTTTCGTGAACCAGAAGAAACTGGTGGCGGGGGACTCCATCGTGTTTCTGCGAGCGGATAATGGTGATCTCTGCGTGGGGATTCGTCGGGCGAAGAGAGGTGGGGTTGGTGGGCCTGAGGTGGGGAGTGGTTGGAGCGGCGGCGGCGGTGGTGGGCTTGGGCCTTATGGGGCCTTTTGTGCATTCCTTAGAGAGGAGAGCAAAGGGGCGAGGAATGGGAGTGGGAGGCCCAAAGTGAGTGCTGAGTCTGTGAGAGAGGCTATTATGTTGGCTGCTGGGAATCAAGCTTTTGAGGTTGTTTATTACCCTCGTGCCAGTACTCCTGAGTTTTGTATTCGCACTTCCGCTGTGAGAGCGGCTTTGAGGATTCAGTGGTGCTCTGGGATGAGGTTTAAGATGCCCTTTGAGACTGAGGATTCTTCCCGGATTAGCTGGTTCATGGGGACCATAGCTTCTGTTCAGCTTCTTGATCCCATTCGCTGGCCTAATTCCCCTTGGAGGCTTCTTCAGGTACTCTCATATTCTCCCTTCTTTATGTTTATTAGGTTCAACTTATTTTGCTGCTCTTCTGTTTTGCATTATTGTTGAATAGATTCTCCAAATAAAATTCTCTTTTTTCTTACTGGGGAGATGTTTTTGATTGTATAAGAAAGTCTTGTGGACAAGTTTATGATGCGACCTTGATGTATCTTGGGGATATGGCTACAGGTTACTTGGGACGAGCCAGATTTGCTGCATAATGTGAAGCGTGTAAGCCCATGGTTGGTTGAGTTGGTATCCAACGTGCCGATCATCCATCTGGCACCCTTCTCTCCACCAAGGAAGAAGCTTAGGTTTCCACAGCACCCAGAGTTTCCCCTTGACGTTCAATTTCCAATACCAACGTTTTCAGGCAACCCCCTTGGGTCTAGCGCTAGCAGCCCCTTGTGTTGTCTATCTGATAATGCTCCTGCAGGCATACAGGGAGCCAGGCATGCTCAAATTGGAATATCTTTGTCAGATCTCCACCTTAACCTTAACCATAAGCAGCTGCAGTTGGGTTTCCTTCCAACGAACTTTCGCCAGCTTGATTTGCACACTGGGATTTCTAATGGAAACATCACCAACCATGGTAAGAGTAGAGAAAGTCTATCATGCTTGCTGACCATGGGAAATTCAAACAAGAGTTTGGAGAAATCTGATCATGTGAAGAGACACCAATTTTTGCTTTTTGGTCAACCGATACTCACCGAGCAACAAATTGCTAGAAAGTCTTCTAGTGATGTGTTGTCTCAAAATTGTACCGCCACGGATGATGAGAATAAGGAGAAGGGGTTTCTTAGTGACTCCCAGTCTTCAGTTTCACCGGGAAAGTCGTCTTCCACTGCCGAATTCTCTTGGCAACTCGGTTCGGACACCAGCAGTCATTGCAAGGTTTTCATGGAGTCAGAAGATGTAGGACGGACCCTTGATTTGTCCTGTCTTGGTTCTTATGAAGAATTGTACATGAGACTGGCCAACATGTTTGGAATACAACGGTCTGAGATGTTGAGTCATGTTCTCTACCGCGATGCAACCGGTGCTCTTAAGCAAACCGGAGAAGAGCCCTTCAGGTATATATCATTCCATTTCTTGTTCATGGTTTTTCTTTCTATGGGTGGATGTATTCTTGGAGTCTTATGACTGATGATTTTTTGGGGCTTTGTTTTTCTGCAGTGAATTCATGAAGACAGCAAAAAGATTGACAATTCTGACGGATTCAAGCAGCAAAGATAGAAGGTGCGAGTGCGAGAAAAAAAAATGAAATTGTATAGCATCTGTTCCCTTATGGCCGGGGAAGATATTTTTGTATGTGCAAGTGTAGCTGTTCCTCTTTGTGACTTCAAAGTGTGTTTTGCAGGGTCTGGATCACAGGAACTCGGAATGCTGAACATGGATTGGATGCATCAAATAAGACAGGTCCTCTGAGTATATTTGCATAATATGGTGTGGCATGATAGCATCTGAGACATTGTTTTTAGATGTGAGAAGTTGAAGGACATAGTTATTACTCTGTTAGAAAATGTTGAAGTCTTTGGTTTCGAGCTCCAAGTGTAGAGAATAATGATTTTTCTTGTATAATGGACAATTGCTATTCTAATATTAATTAATTAATGAACCCAGATTTGGTTCTGCCCCGTCTGTTCTTCACTTGTTCTGGGAAATTTTGAGTATAGTCTGGGGAGTGTGATCGATCACACAGGGAAACTGTGGTCAAGAGTTCAAGCCACGCTCTGCCATTTGTTGGTGTCATGGTTAGTGTATTTACGTGATGAGGACTTTTGTAAGAATTTTTTAAAGCATGGTGACAAGGATAATTTCACATTATATTCCGAGAAACCAAGTTAAGAATAGAGTAAAATAGAATATACAAGTGAAAATAATTCATCCTTTATAAAATAATTTTGTACAATTGAATTTGATTAAATAAATATAATTAGTATAAGAAAATCATAGATATACAAATTAAGAAATATCTTATTTTGAGGAAGGGATTGATTGCGCAGCTCTCTTTTTATATCTGGTATTGTTAAACGGTTTGAGACTTGAGGCTTTGATATTCTATTTTTTTTATCATTCCCCTTTTGATTGATTGCTGCTCTCTTTTTATAAAAAAAATAAAATAAGAGTGATCAATTTAAAATCACATCTGTGTAAGCACAAGCATATAAAGCGTAAGTTTGGTGGAGGAGAAAAAAACAACTCATTATTCAAATGCTTTTGACATAACAATATCTTGTTAGAAGTCCTAAGACTTTATATAAGAATAGTAGGGAAGAGACATATTGTCATATGAATCGATATTAATGAATCATGTAGCTGAAATAAAGAGAAAAAAAACTGTTTCAAAATCTACCATCTTGATTTTAAGTTGAGTTATATGTTAATTACATTATTTTTTTAAATTAAATTTGTCTTTTTGACTTGTGTACTCTCAGTTGTAAGTCAAGTCATATATTAATTAAATTATTTTTTTAAGTATCATATTTGTCTTTTTAGTTCAAATTTGAAGGACCATGTACCTTATCAATTTTGAATTTTATATGTCCTGAATCCATAATTTTAAATCGACTCATAAAAGCTCTTAATTTAAACATTTATCGACTAATTTTGAGATAATTATGTCAAAATTACACAATAACAATATCTAATGATGAAATTTATTTCAACAAAATGATTTTTTTAAAATAAAAAAAAAAGTTGCTAGTTGCATTGAGCTGTTTTTGCACAAAATGTTCAAAGGAAGTTAAAATGAGTAGACAAAAAATCTTCCAAATTATAGGAGTATTTATGAAATTAATTTAGGATAAGATGACTCGCCGGAATATAACCGGAAAAATACATCAAACTCAATTTCATCAATACTCCAATGATTAAATATAATATCTTATTAAACTCACCCGAGGACAATCCTTAATCACATCATATCTTATTTTCAAAATATACCTAATTAACTTTTTCAACCATGGGGACAAGTAATTAAAACTTCCCAACCGCCATCATTTTACTCGACGCAGAAAATTTTATACGCTATTAATTTTTTCAAGGTTTCGTGCCGATTATTTTGTTCTGTATCTATCTTTCCCCGTTGTCTGAGGGTTCATTGAATGATATAGGTAGTGAAAACTGAAAACAACAAATTAAACGTCTTATTGAAGCTCTGTCATTTGTTGATACATTAAACGTCTTATCTCTGATTATTTAAACGTGCTTAAATTTTTTACGTTCCACGTAATATATATGTATAAAACTTAAATTTTTAGGTGATAAATATGAGACATGCTACCATGATGGTTTCCTGTTAATTTGTATCGTAGGTACCATATGAAACCGTCTCCTCTATACGACTATACCCATGCATCTTTAGATAATGATAAATAAAATCCAAATCTCATTGTTCACCATTTGAAAGACTTAATTATTCAGAGATACAGGATTTAGACGATTGGTTATTATAAAATTAAAATAATATTTAATCAATAAATATCACGTTTTATAATAGTAAATTAATTATTAATTATTAACTTTAAAATACTGCATAAATTATATTTATAAAAAAAAATGTTAAATAAAGGAATATAGTAAAAAGGTAAAAAGGAATACTTTGTCTCTTGTGTGAGTCACTCTTGTCACTTGTGAGTGGCGATTGGAAGGCTTTTTGACCAAAGTAGGGTTGCATGGAAACTTAAT